GCAATCGCAAAACCGCTGCAGGTTTGCACCCACCATCGCGAAACCGCTGCAGGTTTGCACCCGCCATCGCGAAACCGCTGCACGTTTGCAGTTGCAATCGCAAAACCGCTGCAGGTTTGCACCCGCCACCGCAAAACCGCTGCAGGTTTGCAGTTGCAATCACAAAACCGCTGCAGGTTTGCAGTTGCGATCACAAAACCGCTGCAGGTTTGCAGTTGCGATCACAAAACCGCTGCAGGTTTGCACTCGCCGTCGCAAAACCGCTGCAGGTTTGCACTCGCCGTCGCAAAACCGCTGCAGGTTTGCACCCGCCATCGCGAAACCGCTGCAGGTTTGCAGCTGCAATCGCAAAACCGCTGCAGGTTTGCAGTTGCAATCACAAAACCGCTGCAGGATTGCACCCGCCATCACAAAACCGCTGCAGGCTTGCAGTTGCCGTCACAAGACTGCGGCAAATTTGCAGTTGCCATCACAAAACCTCTACAGAATTGCTTGCAGTTGCAAGACTTCTACAGATTTATAGTTGCAATCACAAAACTGCGGCAGACTTGCAGTTACAACCACAAACCACTGCAGATTGCAGCTGCAATTGCAAGAGAGCTGCAGCTTTATAGCTGCAATTGCAACCCCGCTGCAGATTCGCAGCTGCAATTGTAGAAATGCTACGGAATTGTTTGCAGCTGCAAGACTGCTACAGATTTATAGTTGCAATCACAAAACTTGCTGCAGATTTGCAGTTACGATGACAAACCACTGCAGATTGCAGTTGCAATCACCAGAGCGTTGCAGATGTATAGTTGCAATTCCAAACCCAACAGATTTGCAGTTGGGATTGCAGAACCGCTGATGTGCAGCTGCAATCGCAAACCACTGCAGATTTGCAGCTGCAATCGCAAGAGCGTTGCAACTTTATCGTTGCAATCGCAAACCCGCTGCAGATTTGCATTTGCAATTGCAAAACCACTGATCTGCAGCTGTAATGACAAACCCGCTGCAGATTTGCAGGTGCAATCGCATAACTGCTCACTTATAGTTGCAATCGCAAACCCGCTGCAAATTTGCAGGTGCAACTGCAAAACTGCTGCAAATTTGCAGGTGCAACTGCAAAACTGCTGCAAATTTGCAGGTGCAATCGCAATAACGCTGCAAATTTGCAGGTGCAATCGCAATAACGCTGCAAATTTGCAGGTGCAACGGCAAGACCGCTGCAAATTTGCAGGTGCAATGGCAAGACCGCTGCAAATTTAGTTGCAATCGCAAGACCGCTGCAAATTTGCAGGTGCAATGGCAAGACCGCTGCAAATTTGCAGGTGCAACGGCAAGACCGCTGCAAATTTAGTTGCAATCGCAAGACCGCTGCAAATTTGCAGGTGCAATGGCAAGACCGCTGCAAATTTGCAGGTGCAACGGCAAGACCGCTGCAAATTTAGTTGCAATCGCAAGACCGCTGCAAATTTGCAGGTGCAATGGCAAGACCGCTGCAAATTTGCTGGTGCAACGGCAAGACCGCTGCAAATTTAGTTGCAATCGCAAGACCGCTGCAAACTTGCAGGTGCAACCGCAAAACCGCTGCAAGTTTGCAGGTGCAACGGCAAGACCACCACAGAACTGCTTGCAATCGCAAGACTGCTGCAGATCTACAGCTGCAATCGCCAACCCGCCGCAGGTTTGCAGTTGCCATCGCCAACCCGCCGCAGGTTTGCGGGGGCCATCACCAACCCGCCGCAGCTCGCCGTTTGCACGCGCGACCCCCCCGCACACCGGAGCTTGC